TTAAAAATCTTTTATTATAAGTAAAGTTTCCCTTTCAAACCTGACTGACTATGGGGCAAGTGAAGTAGAGTTCACTTGTTTCTGTGACCTCGGCATATGAAGAGATAGTGTGGTCAGCACTATGCCCAGCCACCTTTACTTTCCCTAGGTACCCATCAGAGTTGGGTGGACTCAGGGACGGTCTACTGACTTAAACCCGGTTTCGAACTCGAGACTTACGGGTTAGCAGTCCAGCTCTCTACCGCAGTGTTTCTTCCAGACTTTTTTCTCCGGGGGGGGCACTTGAAATTTTCGGGGGGGCGGTAGACTTTCTTCGGGGGGGGGGGGGGGCGGACACTGTTAAAAGCATATATTTTCTATATAAATTATATAAATTTCATTTCGTTCGGGGGGGGGGGGGCGGTATAATAAAAAAACTTTTCGCGGGGGGGGGGCGAAGCCCCCCCCACCCCCCCCCCCCCCCCCCGAAGAGATGCCTGGAAGAAACTCTGCTCTACCGCTAGACCACTCCGTCCCATTATTATAAGCTTTTATTTAATTCACTATGTCTGTTTGTGAGTTTGTGGCTAATCTTGTAACACAGTTTTGACCTACTTCTGATACAGCTATTCTGTTTAAACCTTACAGATACATTCGTCTACGATGATAATGCAATAATTCATCATTTTTACTTTAATTAGACATTACATATTCATTAAAATTTTATTTAAGGATTGTTACATTTAATAATAAACTGCCAGCTATCGGACAACGGCCATCTGATATTCTTGGTTTTTTTTTTACTTTCTCGTATACGAAGTATAAAGGAAGTATTATAATTGTGAAAAAAAAAATTGAAATCGCTATTTTCACACATCTCAACGTTTTACATCTCCCTCGAAAAAACACAGTTTTGCAATTTTGTCCATATGTCTGTGTGTGTGTATGTCTGTGTATGTCTGTGAACACGATAACATGAGTACCGTTACAGCTAGGTATTATATCAAATTCGTAGTTTTGTATCAACTTTTCAGTTATTTCCGGTAACCAGAAGTGAAACTTACTCTACTTTTGGTTTTTCAAAAGCCTATAACTTGAGTACTGTTTCAGATAGATAGACAACATTTTACATATAAGTAAAAGATCTAATTCTGTGCCTTCTTTCAAATTTTGAGTAATTTCCGTTAACCGAAAGTTGTTCTTTACTTCTCAAAAAACGCATATGAATTTAAGTACTAATATTCCGCACTGTTATTTTAATTATGTGTTCGCATTTAACAATAGCAATGATTATCTATTGTCGTTGAATGTAACATTATTTTCTCTAAATTTAGCAAATTTACGTTTTCCCTTCACAGATTCAGCAACAAGTAGTTCAGAGACCATACGTTATTTAGTTATGTTACGATTTATAGTTAATATCATTGAAGATATTGGCTAATTTTTAAAAGCATGATGAGAGAAAGGTATGTTAAAAAACGTACACGTAACTTTACGCACATGCACACACTTGTATAATTATATATATATATATATATATATATATATATATATATATATATATATATATATATATATTATATATATATATCTATATATATTCAAATAAAAAATAAAGAATGCTCACTTACTTGTGTCACTAAACCCATAAAACGCTATATTTCAGACTTGTTCTAACCGCATCGGTTCTCTCATTGGTTGCTGCTACAGTGTTATTGCCATTTACATTAAATATGTTGGATAAATATCCCAGCGTGCAAGTAATAAAGTCTATAATTGAATTTGTTAACTTTCAGATTTTGATAAGAGTAGGTATATATATATATATATATATATATATATATATATATATATATATATATATATATATATATATATATATATATATATGTATATATAAGCGCCTATATATGATACAGATTTATTCAATGACGAATCTTAAGTGGACGCCTTCTTCCACTGGCACCAGTTATCAAAAGACGACAGTACATGTAAGCAACTTTTATCACAACATTTGTATTCCTCATACGTCCTTTATGGATTTACTGCATCATGAGTCCAAACTACTACCGAACGTTATAACTTTTTATCCTGACGCGTAGATCTAACCTACAGATTATGCTATGGGAATTTAAAATTGAATTAATTACATTTTTAATTTAGAAAGTAGACTTTCAAAAAGAGTGTTATGTAAAATACTAATTTTATCGCGCTATAGACACAAGTGTGTGCATTTGATGCACAGGTCTTTTTTACTATGTGATTTGATTCTATCAAAATTAAAACCATTTCAGAACAGAAACTAACTTTACATAATGCAGTTTAAAAACTTGTATAATTACTATGGGCACTAAAACGAAGGAAATATTTTTTTAAAATCTCTCTATAAAAAACGTAATGTATGTATGTCTGTTTGTCTTTTTATACATTACTGCAACTTTTATCCAATCGCCATGAAACTTTGAGAATACTCCTGGGGAGGTATCAGCGAAAAAAAAATCAAATTCTCAGGGGTGGCGCCCCGACAGGGCACGATTTGATTTTTCTCTATACACAGTATATAAAAGTAAAAGTTGATTGCGATTGACACTGTTCATCCGATCGCTATGAAACATTGAAGAGTTGATTAGAACACTCCAGGGGAGGTTTCTGCAAAAAAGGTGTTTTCAATTGGCGCCATGGGCTTTCTCGTGAGCAATATGGTGCCTGCGTTCGTTTTTTAAACAGTGCAATAGACTATGGATAACACAGGGCGTTATAGCCGTTCACTAAATTAAATCAAGCGCGTTCGCCAGCGCCCCGTGTTATCCCGTGAGAGCTATGGCGCCTACGTTGGTTTTAAACAGTGCGATAGAGTACTGATAAGATTGAGGTTTTATAGTTGTTATGTGAATTGAATCAGGCGAGTCAGCCGGCGCAGTCAGGGTGCAGTTTAGCGCCTAGAGCTATCCATTGAGAACTATGGCGACTACGTTATTGACATGGAGACACGCAACATTCGATGATTAAACCGAGCCAGGGCCCGACGCGGCGCCCCTGCTGTAGTGTAATCGGGGACTCACAGGACACCTGGGCAGTCGCCGGATCGTGTTCTACCTCATTATTTCGGTGAGTGATTAACTGTAGTGTAGGTAAACCCGTGCCCCGATAAATATTATCCAAGCGCAGGCATTGTTTACATTTAAATAACTAAGTTTTAGAAAACAAGGTCAAATCTAAGAATATAGGATGGGTGACGCATTAATGAAACTCTCCTAATATATTTCGTCCAAATTTCTTCTAATCTCGCGGCAACGCGCGGGGACAGGCACGCTAGTATATAATAATGCACCCTCTTTTTAACAACCATTTATATTTTATAAATAAATGCGTTATTCAATACAAAATAAAGCGATCAGCGTCTTTCTCTATAGCTATTTAAATCGAAGTATATTATTATATATTTATTTTTTTCTTTTTAGGGAATATATAAAAAGCTTGTACTTGTTTTATTTAAAATTCAAAATGTTTATTAATTCTGCAAGTTACTGTGACATAAATTAGTAATACGGAAAACTGTTGAACAGCCAAGGTGTGGACCAAAATGTTATAAGGATAATGTAAATATACTTTTGTTACCCGTATAAGTTTCACATATTAACTACATGAAATATTTGTTTAGCTGTATCAACATATTCTCTACTTGTTTATTGATCTGTGTGGCATATTTAAACGTGTATTGACAGGATTACAAAGGTACAGTCACAGCACATGTAAACCTCTTACCATCTGCAAGATTTCCTGGAACAGATAATTCACAAGGTATAATAAAACAATGCTATTGGATTGGTCGAGAATTCGAGCAACAGCCCACCACTTCAACACTGACTGGCTCATTCTGCTTTATAGTGTCATGGTCATCAGAAAATACCAGTTTCGACCCAAGGCGACAAAAGACAAAAGGCAAAAGCTCAAGGAAACAAATTGAATAAAGAGGGTGTAATATGTATATGCTTTAAAGTTATAAAATTATATGTATTGTACGTATTTATATTTATATCAAAACAAATCGTAATAGGTCCTGATTACACAAATGTAACAATTATAATTTTATTTAAAAATAATAAGATGTATCTTTTGTTTCTAGATCCTATATTTAGCCCCACCAGACATTCGATACTAAATTTAGACCACAACTTACGGGGAAACCAGCAGCACGCTAGCGGTGTTAACATTACAGATGAGGGCGTTACAATTTTAATTCCAGGTTAGTTATAAATAAAATCTGTTCATAAAAGTTGGTCATTAAATAAAACCTGGATCAGTTCGGTGGATTTGTCTATTGGTCACAATATAGAAGAAAAGACACGGTAGCCTTACTAGCTGCCTTCGGACATGATACACATATATTGTGTCATAGAATTTTGTTGACTTGGTGTGTGACGACTTGCCGTTACTTGTCATGACATAGTAGAAAAATTGTATATTTATTCTGATATTCTTTCTTGCTAAGCCAATATGACCGTCTGGAACCACATCATCATTTCAAGGTTAAATCAATTAAATTCAGTCAAATTTGTCGCTAACTTTTTAAAATTATATCTTAATTACCCCCACCCCCTTTCTCTCTCTCTCTCCCTGGTATACTGTAATTACCTACTCAAGTTATACTAATTATCAAAACAGACCGAAACACGATGGAGCATTTCTCACAAGCATGTTACCAGCCAAGTTTAAAATTCATCTCTCTCTATATTAACCATCGGGTTGGGACGTGTGGGCCAGTTCGATTGTTCTCTATCCCGTGTATCGAACACGTGACATTCGGGTTAGCAACCATATGTTCTACCGTTTTAATTAATTACTAAAAGAGAAAAAAAATTAAGAGACTTTAAAATTTAGAAAATAAATTCACATTCACAACTTTAAATAGCGAAAAAGATTTTATATTTACCTAACATAACTAGATCTAGCAAATTAGTACGTTTCACCTGGTGTATTCAAATTAATTCTTAATTTTGATTTCATGTTCTGTCTGTTATAGGGCTATACTTCATCTACACTAACGTTAACTTTAAACCAAATTCTACTCGATACTCTGCTGATTTCACCTATCAGGTAAAACCTCCCATATTTACGTCAAATAATTTAGAAATACTCATAATTACATACCTATTCCCTATGCACACCTACACCATATATGTCTATATTTATACCAATCTATATATCTAAATTTATAATATATATAATATTATATATATATATATATATATATATATATATATATATATATATATATATATATATATATGTGTGTGTGTGTGTGTGTGTGTGTATGCTTATATATATAATATGGTATATGGACGAGATATAATAAGATACACATAAGGATTCATGTTTCTATATCATTTATATTTATCAGTTTATAATAAGTGTTTAACCTCCCCCCCCCCCCCATCCCCAGACGTGGTTCCAGTACGTCCACCGTCACTCAGCCCACAGCCCCGTGTTATCTGGTGTCTTGTTGAGAACTGTTCACACAACTTGTGCCAACTGTACACACAGCCAGGAAACTTCTTACACAGGTCAGAACTGTTTCATTAATAAACAAATATTAAAACCTTCATAATATAAGGCTTTTACATTGTGGGTTTACTTATAAGAGCGTATTTTAGTCACCAAAGCTTTTATTAAAACAAAACAAGTTTGTTTAGTTTTCTTTATTTATAAAGTGTAACCTTACTATTTGAATACAGGAGGAATATTTGACCTTCAAACTGGTGACATCATTCAAGTTCATGTTTCAGGTCAAGGTCTTATTGGTTTTGGACCAGGCAAATCATATCTGGGCCTTTTTCTCTTAAGTTAATTATGTGTGGATAGAGAGGAGCTATCGAAAAGACAAGTCAATTGGTTTAACTGTACTATTTCTTTCTGTTTTGTTAGGATAAAATGTAAAATCAATCGTACTTCGGGTTTTCAATATTTTTTGTTGGTGTTGGAAAATAAGTTCAATAAGCTAAAATATCACTACAGTATTAGAGAATAGTTTATTTTAATTGTCACTTTCACTATTCTAGTTTTATTTTTAAAATAAAATGCACAGACAGATTTTATACAGATTTATGTTCTTCCTTTGTCTTTGTCACTAATTTTTGTACCTGCAGTCTGAATAACCAAAAAAAAACATACGTTAATGTTATTTTCTATTTTCGACATGATGTCTACACTTTTATCCCCGAAGACTTCAAGTTATATCTTTAAAATGGGAGTATTTTTAAATTTATTGTAGCGAGTTATTTTAAGACTGTTTAAACACCAATTACGTATACAAGGAAACAGAATATTGAAATTCGTAATATTAGCTTAGGAAAGGACTATAATATTTCAGATAATTATTATTTTCATTCTTAAAATGTAGTTTTAAAAGTTGTATATTGACATCCAAATAAACTATTTAAAAATAGCTAAAGGTATCGTGCATATTTATAAATCGCAAAGGCGTCGGGTAATGGTTAAGCATTATTGTATTGTTATACAAAATATAGTGGCTCTAAACATTTATAAACCACTAAGGCGTGGGGTGATGGTTTAGCATTATTGTATTTTTACAAACAATATAGTGGTTCTAATCTGTAGAGCTATGTTATACATCATTGACTTAAATTTTGTTGATTTTCATTTTATAAAAGGTTTGTATGATGGAGTAATTAGAACAAATTTTGGCAAAAAATTGTAAATTCGGTAGAAACCTTTAGGATTATTCATTATTCATTATACTCCTAGTGTAGTTTGCATTTTTGCAAAATTTGTTGTATTTCACTAAATCGACAGTAAATGCACTAATAGTGTTGTGTAATATTGTACAAAACGAACTGATGCTTGTCTTATATAACGATATTCACATAGACACGAATGCAAAGTGTGTCGAGTAGCAGCCTAACAAGGACGGGTAAGAGATTTTAGTTCACAAACAATATTACAGGAAAATCCAACACGCAATAAAACTATCGGGAGTTCCCTTTATTGCTTGTTTTCAAGAAGACTTCCGTAATTAAAGCCGTGCTTGCAGTTTTCAGAAAAAGATTTTGAAAACAGTATTAGAAAAAGTTTTAGGAAACAGATTTGCTGTGAAGGCTATATTATTACAATTTGTTTTGGTAAGGTAATTTCCAGTTACTTTATATGATCTTTTCAGTTATCTAAATCGCTATAGATCTTGTCACTACAAAGTAAAGAATTGTATTATTTGTCAGTCATAGATCATGTACATGCACTCATCACATGGATTACGTTATCCACATAGAACTGCATTATCAACCCATCTTATCCAGTAGACTACAGCCTACACTATACAACACATGATAAAGACAAATCGTAACTCTTTAATTTAAAAACTCATAATTAATAAATCTAAAATTGTATATTGCTAAACCTTAACAGTTGTCATGAGCTTTAATATTTGATAAACCCACTGCTATGATTGTGAAAGTTAGAATCTGTATAACGGGTAGAAAACCTTTAACAAAAAGATGTCAATGACATGATGAAGAAATTTATTTCATAGATAAACAGAATTAAAAATTCTAATTTTGATTCAACACCTTCGCCACACCAAGAATAAATCACACTTTATATTGTCTGCTAATCCAACTCCAGATTGGGAATGAAGTAATTATTGTAAGCTTAAATCCTGCAGGAAATTCTAAGTAGCTGAAAAGTTAATAAGCTTACACTTTACACAGTATGGCGAGATGTGATTAATTTGTGTTAATTAAAGGTAATTTGTCAAATTATGGGGAATACAGCTGGAAAGAAAACAAAACTTGAGTTTACAAGTGAAGGTAAACAATATTTTTAATAGAAATTGTGTGTAGTTTATGTTTACAGTTTGTGTGGTTATATGGGTAGTTTGTGTAGTAATTACTGTAGTTTATGTAGTAATTACTGTAGTTTATGTAGTAATTATGTGCAGTTAATGTAGTAATATGTGTAGTATATAGTAATAATTTCAATATTTTATGTAGTCATTTATGTAGTTTAAGAAATTAATTCGTCTAGTTTATGTCGGTGGTGTGTGTGTAATTTTTGGAAGTAGCTTGTAGACTTGATGTTGTTAATTTGAGCCTTTTTAAGTTATGGATCTGTCAGTATATATTCCTAAAAACATGAAATAGTGATTGAGTTATGAAGAATTTACTTCGCATAAAATTAATAAAGGAATATTTTAAAAATAGCGTTTGTAAACATGTGAGGCATGTGCTATAGGGCAATGAAAAGTTTTGATTTTTTTTTAAATTTAAAGTTAACATGTTTTTGAAGGATGAATTTAAAAAATTCTAAATTAACCTGTTTAAGAAGGATTACTTTAAAATTTTTAAATTAACATGTTTAAGAAGGATTACTTTAAAAATTCTAAATTAACATGTTTTAGAAGGATTACAATGTGAAGAGCAGGCGAGCAAGTTGGACGAAGCAAACGTTAAAGAAAATATTACACCAGGTATCTAATTGTGTGATACATTTTGTATCCGTTTTTTTTTAGCTCACATGCATAATTTACAACCATCACATAAGTTATTTTTCTTAATTCGAATCTCTGATAATCTTTTGGAGAAACCATTAAAATGGGATCGTAGTTTTCTATTCTAATACTTTTATAAGTGTAAATGGCAAATAATTCAGTATATAAAGCAGTATATTTCGTTTAATTTGGTGTTACTTTAAGCAGTTGATGTAATCTGAATTTCATAAAGAAATGGCATTTGTCAGCGGTAATTTTTAAAAAAATCTTATAACGGCATTGTTGAACGCTGTTTGTTCTTCCAATGCAATAAATGTGTAAGAACAGCAAAACAATATTAGTAAATTTGATTAAAATCTAAGTGAAAATCCATATTTAAACTCGTAATGTCTCAAACTTGTTCATAACAGGAGTCTAACTAGTCTAACGACAGACGCCACTGTGTAAACACAAAGATAGAAATCATACATTTATATTTGATATGTTACTTATGTTGTATGTATAGGACATCCGCTTTGTTCTGGTGAGAGACTAGCATAAGAGTGTGGTGTAGGGCACACAATAGCTCTACTCACACAGTTAAACTCTCTGTTATCTGCCATATAGAGCATCAAGTTTTAAAAATTGCAACATTACGTTTTTACCCGTAGTTAACAAAATAGCTGTAAAATTAATGTTAAAGTACTTTGATTTAAATTTTAGCATTGTTAGTAAACTCCTTTCCTAACTCTCCAGGACATCATGAAGCAGAGATCTGCTATGGAGGTGAAGCTGACTTACACAAGCGCTATAACAGCTGTAAGAAGAATCCAGGTCATGTCAACTTTATACCTGTTAATAATTTTAACTTGGATCATCTCCCCTTACTTTACCGTGACGACATCATGTTGGAAGTAATCAAAGCTTTGTCTGCCCTAACGGTCTTGATAAAGGTCAAATACACCAGTCGAAAAAGGCCAAAGTCAGTTCAAAACTTTAGTGGACAATATCCATGTTATAACTTGAGAGGAAGAAGTGACGTGTTGAGAGTAGGTACGGGAATGGTGGTTTGGGTACAAAAGTACACAGAGAGTGACAACAAGGGCACTTGTCCATGTGTCAAGTGTCAACACTCGGACACACCCAGCAAGGTGTGGGGGGTGGTTAATGTGCAGACAGCCAGACACGTGGTGTTTGATGCCAGTGAGGTGAGACAATCCAGGTGTGTTGTAGGCTACGATGACAATAAAAGTCCTGGGGTCAGTCTTGATGGCTGGGATGTGATGTTCCATAATATAAACATTGAGGGAGACTGGTACAACTTTAAGTGTGTGTCGTGTGACCTGGAGTTGATTGAAAAACTTGACACAACCAGACGTCACTTTCAAGATCTGTTTTTGAAAGTCAGGGACAAATACAGGAGATTCGCGTTGTTAGGCAAGTTGACCGTTATAGTGTCACATCCTCATGGCTGTCCTAAACAGGTCTCTGTAGGACAATGGACTCGTAAAACTGTGAGGGAAGCGGAGTACGTTAAGTACAATAAGTACACGTACACAACCTGTACATGTCCTGGCTCCAGTGGAGCGGTTGTCTTCAGACCGGGATATGTTGGCTATTCGTACCACCCACACAGTGGATCAAACCCAGAGGAAAATTATAGTGCGGAAGCTCAGTTTTGACATTTATTTGAAGTTGGTCTGCACGTAGAAATCAAACTTTTTAATTCATTTGACATCAATTTGTTAGAAAAATATTGTTTGAAAGAGTTATAAGAAACAAAATCAAATGTCATGTCTCATTTAACTTTCTATTACTTCCAACTTGAATTTTTTACTGCTCGTATTTTAACTGTGCACAGACAAATATAGGCCCAATTAAGTTACAGAGAAAAGAAAGATTAATCCAGAATATTTCATTTTTATGCAATAAAATTAAATGACACATGAGCTGAAAAAAATGTGTTTTGTGAACATATTTATGGATGTTTGAGTAGAAGATGTAGATTATAACAAATACATAAACTATAGTAGTGGGGTAAATGAACTGTGTACGTGATTTCATACAGTTTACTTTGCAATTCTTTTTTTAAAAGAATATTAATTTAAATATTATTTTTCGCGTAAGTTGAAAAGAAATCTTATACGCTTTCTTGAAGTCATGGTGTCCATGACATATGTCGACATTTAGAAGGGTCATTGACGTTTTTCTACGGACAAAAATGTATTGATATTAAATCAATTTACGCCAATCACCTGACAACTTATCCAATATATGTCTCCTAGCTTAAAATCGATAATGCACTTAAAACCTGAACAGTTCATATATCGATTTATAAGTAATGTTAAAGCGCGCCTTGTGCTAATATAAATCAAAGATAGAAAACTACACTTAAAAAAAGGTCACACATTTGTAAATTCATTAGTGTAGTCTCCCTTTCAGTTTTATCAACTAGAACAATATCATAAGACACGTTAATATAGTCAGGTCGGAATGAGTCAATCGTATATAATAAGATACATTTGCTAAGAAATAAAAATGTTATACAACATAAATTTTATATTATACATAAAATTATATATTACATTATATATAACTTATTTTGCACTCAATTTGAACTTTATTTTAAGTCGACAGCCTTCTCCACTAATATCGTTTGCTTAAAACCTGATCAAAATCTGTGGATGAAAGTTTAAACTGAAACGTTGGGCTGGGATTATGTTGATGCTTTGCCACTTGCAGATGTGGTATTATTGCATGATTGCATTTACACTAAATATTAATGACTTTATATTTCCTCTTTTTACAAATCACCACTTTACTGTAACACTGTGTCACGAACGTTGTATACCTCTTTTTTTTTGCTTTAGCTACTTACGCTGACAACTAACAAAAAAGTAAACGTGCATTGGCCGGAACTTTGCTTTAGGGGGTCGCCAAGGGACTTAAATATCAAACCAACATCAAGCGGAAAAGTCCCGATAGGCAACTTTATTATTCACACCTAAAAAAAATATGTTTAAAATTGAAATAATTAACAATATATAATAATAATATAATAATTTATATGATGCGTCTCGAACCCATACAACTCGCATGAGAAATGTTGCAATATCATCTCGGCCAGCAAATTTATTGCGATAATTTACTTAGTATCGTATAATATTAATAAACTTAAATTACGCGAATGTTATTTACTATTTAGTTATTTCCAATTAGCCAATTTCATAGCTAAATAAGCATAGATTTATATTAAAATATTTTAGCATTATTGATCTAGATCTGTAATCTACGACTGGTTTAAGTGTAGTTTATCCGTAGCTGTAGATAAATTCATTGTATTCTTGAATTAGATGATCTGTGAAGTTAAAAGCAAAGAATTATATCAAATATTTAAGTACTAAAATAGTTACTAAATAAACTCAATTATCTATTGTGTTTTTATAATGCGTTAAACTTTGAATGGGCAGCGTGATTTTCCATGGAAGCCGCCATGTTTCATTGTTTGTTGTGAAAACTAAGTAAATGAAAAGATAGGTCACTTTAGAGTGTTTGTTCTGAATTGGTGTTTCTACCAAAGAATATATCAATACATCAATTAACGTCTTTAAATAAATATGTGTAACATTTTGGTAAAACAGAAGATTATTCTCTAAATACATATTTTACAGTTCTACATATAGTGCATATGCTCTCATATATCCAAACACACAGTGTTTCTTCCAGACTATTCTCTTCGGAGGGGGGGGGGGACTTGAGATTTTTTGGGGAGGCGGACTAAAATTTTTGGAAGAGGCGAAAACTGTCAAAAAAATATACTTTCTATATAAATTCCATTTCATTCGGTGGGGGGGGGGGGGGGGGGGGGGCGGTAGACTTTCTTTGGGGGGGGGGGGCAGAGTTTCCCCGAAGAGATGCCTGGAAGAAACTCTGCAGATAAGCAAAAAAAATATACAAACATGTAAAAAAAGGAGACGTTTAGTAGGATATAAAGAGATAATATTTATTTAATTCATTTCACAACTTCTAACTGACGTGGTCTAATTTCATTTCACAACTATTGACGTGGTCTAATTTTCATTTCACAACTACTAACACTGTCGTAGTTCCCAGTGATACTTTGCCACATTAAACCCTTGCTGTTGACTTTACTTCTCCACACACCATTCAGATGGACGGTGTGGCAGGCGTTGTACCACCACGCCCCGTGGTACACGACAGCGCAGTTGTTGTTACCACCGTTGTCGTTGTCTACATCGTACGTGGTAAACTCTTGGTTGTTGTTCACGGTGAAGGAATCTTTGACTGTCCCCGAGTAGCCTTTGATAGATATCTTGTACATTTGTATTTCAGATGAGAGTGTAAAGTTAGAGTAATACGCATAATAGCTGACCCCTTTGTAAGTCATGTCAATGCGTAGCTCGTGAGGATACATAACGTTAAGACAGTAAATGTTCTCATTGCCCAGGTAAAAGTCTCCAATCTTGTAGTCTCCAAACCCGTACTTGTACTCCGTCCAGTTTCTGTAGAAGTCAATTGATCCATTGACGCGACGCTGGAAAATTGTCCAGCCACCTCCATCTGTCACAGTGTCACACATGACGACAAGACCAGACGACAGTTGGATCAGCTGTCTCGGGAGTGTCGAGTTCTTCACATCTCGACAAGACTTGAAGACGTTTGGACTTTCAGCTACAAGAATTTCTTTCCCGACAGCATTCACCATCCCTAGAGCAATTAAAATATACTTGTGTTACGTAATGATGGGTTTAAATTTTGTACACATATCTTTCTTTTTGCAATGATTTTTTTCTTCTCTTAGTAGTTACTATTTCAGTTATTTTACAAGGGTTCTTATTTTCATTTCCAATATTTTGTTTTCGTTTTCAAAATGAGCTACTGAAATCGTTTTTTTTTTCCTAGTATAATTAATATATATTACAAGAATGAAAATCCTTGAAGTTTATAGAAACTGTTTTAAAAGTTAACAGATTGTGCGTAAAAACTTTATAAAATTAATTTTTTGTAAAAGTGTAAAACCGCGTTAAAAAATGTATAGAACCAATTTGCAAGTTTACAGAAAAACATTTGAAAAGTTTATAGAATGTATTATGAACATTTATAGAATGTGTTTTAAATTTTAGATAAATTATTTGACAAGCTTGTGGAACGTGTTTAAAAAAATTAATAGAACAAATTTTAAAAGTTTATTGAGCATGTTTTAAAATATAGAATGTGTTTGAAAAATGTATAGAAAAAAGTTCATAAGTTTAGAAAACGTGTTTAAAGGATTATAGAACAAATTTTAATGTTTATAGAACGTATAAAAATACTATAGAGCATATTTTAATATTTATAGAACGTTTTAAAATACTCTAGAACATATTTTAAAAGATTGAAGACCTAGACAAGCCGCCGTGTTACACGAACCCATCCTGCCATTCCCTACTGACGTCACAAACTCCTGTACATTGCAGTACATTCCCTTGCTGTAGAGTCTGGTGGTGCTGGCAGCTTGTGATGTATTGAGGGCAGCCGTTGGCAGAAGCCAGTAGCCTGCAGACGACAATGTTCATCATGTGCTTACTTATAAACTTTATAAACTTGATTTTTAAAACTTGAAGGACATATTAAGGTAAATTGCTGAAACATAAATAACAAAAGAGTACTGAAGAAAGTGAAGACAGAAGGTTGTGTATAGAAAAGCGAAAGAGCAAATAAAATTATCATTCCATTCCTTATATATATAAATAATGATCTATTCAGTGTCAGATTTACGAATAAGCCAAGCAAGCTTTTGAACAATACACTTTAAAATGTGATGAGAATTGTGTAGCCCGTGTCTATATTTAATTTTGGTTTCTTTTTATTTTAAACTACAGTGGCCACCGAGTTTTTTTGGCATTACAGCTGTAAAGAAACTTTTTGTCGCCAAATGTATTTTTGAAAAGCAAATATTTGGTACCAACTTGATATATTGATTTATATAGATTCGTAAAGATTAGGGCCTAATACATCTAACTCTAGTCTTGACAGAGTTGATGATTTACCTAGGGTACAGCTTTTGCTTGTCTTGTCGTACATATAGTTGTAGCATTCGTCTGGGTGCTCGGCACATTTGGCAGCACACACAAAGCTACTGGGAGTTGTGAAGGTTTTGTTGTCTAGAGGCAGTAGTACAGTTTGAGTAGAGTTACGTGACGTATAGCGGCCAATGACGAGATCACACGTCACGACTGTTGAACAATACAAGGGTCATGGTGAGCTCATGAATGAAATGTTTTTTTATACAACACGAGCTAAACACTACTTTAAGAGCAAACTAACACTCGCAGGCTCAACCTAGACAGATACACACTTGCGTTATTTACCAATGAGTTCGTATCATAGCGATTTAGGAGGGGGGAAATTTAGTACGTCAAATATCAAGCTAAAAGGAATAACTTATGTTTAAAAATATTTAGCTCTTTACTAATGGTGGCTAAATGTCTAATGTCAAATGAAGGGTGATAAAATATTGAAAGACAAGACCAGCTATGGCAGTCTTTTTTACTTACTTTGAAATGTTAAAATGAAAATGACAAAAAATATCCATCACAGAAAGATACGCCATAACGACTGATTACTAAAATTAACTATAAAAATCCCTTTATTAATTTCTTGGTTTGTAGATTAGCTCAGTGTAAACGAAGTTTTATACCATTGTACAACCTTACTGCTGCGCCAAGAACAAATTGCTTAAATAAATGTGTCCGTAATTTACTGTTATGCATTATACAATGTAACACACAATAGACAAAATCAGCTCAGGAAATCAGGTACTTGGTTCAACTTCATCATTAACTCCGACTCACTAGTACACCTGTCAATTATCTTTTCTTATAAGGTTCGACATTTAGAGAAAAAAGTCCCTATGAACAATTCTTATTGTGTAAACTTTTACACAGCCACTGCAGTTTTTCAAATATGTGCTTGAGGGTATCGTCTGGTTGTACAGTGCTGTCAATTTTTTGATCAACAATTTCCTATTTCTTTGTTTTGTCGTTACCAGTATTTCTTCAAGACATTTTTCTCCGGGGGTGCACTTGAAACGATTTGCTGTTCCTTTATTAGTGTGTTGACCCTTCAAATGGTATGAATATTATTCTGGTGTTGTTACAAAGCCATTATACACTATTATCCACTCAATCTGATTTGTATCAAATAGGTTTTAAGCATTATATAAACGTTTGCAATTACCTATGGTGATTATAGTATTTAACGTCATTTTAAAAATATCAATATGCATATAATTAGAAAATAAATCACTCTAGTTGATGTGAAAATAACAAATTTAATTTTTTTTAAATTAAATGAGAACGACACAGAAATGAAGCAGGTTTAAGTAAAAGTCTTTGACGGTTAAATCTGCCAGCCTACAAACATTAAACCCACTCGGCACGAAGCTAAATGTTCATAGAGTTTATACTTCTGTTTTGATATTGGCAAGTCAGGAACTTCGGTTGGTTCGGCTCCGTCCTGGAATTACTATTTTTTTAACAAAACAAATACAAGAGATGTATTCTGACGTGTAATAGAAAGATTTGTTACCACTTGGGATAAATAGGGATGCAATGCCACTGGTTTCAGTTGAGTAATTATCAGAATGCGGATCAGAAAACGAATGTCGAGTTTCTATGTCCCATTCGGAAGACAGTCCACGATCGAATCCTTGCTACCCTACAAATCTGATTCGCTATAATGTCTATTTCTGATGTATTCCCTATACCACGTAACGAGTTTTTGTATCGTTTCCTGACCCAGGCTTGCCGTCTGCCTGGTAGATAAAAGACTTTGTTTTATTTGTTTAATGTTCGCTTTTCTTTGCAAACTTCATCAAAATCAGAGAAGATCTAAAAAAAAAAGGTTTCTAGTAGAGTGTTACACCGATCATTGAAATAATCAATGAATAATCTACTGAAACATTTTGTCTATATCTTGTCATTAGTGATGATTGTTTAAGCAAAATAAGTCAAAATTTCGTTAAGTTTCACCGACATCCAAACAGTTCTATTTCTAAGAGTGTTATTAAATTTATTTATTTTCTACAAAAACCTTTAATATTATCAAAGATAAAAGAATTAAAAAAAGGATTCCGATTGAGTGTTCGTAAAATTTATTGTAATAAACATAACATTGGGTTAACAATCAAATACAACAGCCCAATAATGAGGCCTTACTAAATGCACTGACATTAAGACAATTATATGTGGTTTTGCCAAATTTTAAGTCCAATAGATAAAATATTTTTATTTGTAAATTAACAATAACTGAAGACTTTAATCAAATGTTTGATAACTATAAATAGATAATAACATACACAACTTGAAACAAACATTTTGAATTATGAAATGACTGGCTAATTTGTTTGTTTCCATTGTGTAGACAATTGACAGAAAAACATCGTTACAGCGAGATTAACAAAACTCCCCACTGTAATTTCCTTCATCGCTTGATCCACTGTGGGGGTTATACCTCCAGTCGAATCCAGGAATGTAAACAGCAGCTCCACTGGAGCCTGGACATGTACAATTTGTGTACATGTATTTAGTAGACATGTGGCAAGCATTTCTTCCCTGGTCTGTACATTGTCCTACAGAGACCTGTTTAGGACAGCCATGAGGATGTGACACTATAACGGTCAACTGTTCAAGATCATCACTTCTCTGTAACTTGTCCCTTACTTTTTCACGAAGATCCTCAAACTGCCGACACATCTTACCCAGTTTATCAACAAACTCTAAGTCACATGACACACATGAAAACTTACACCAGTCTCCCTTAACGTTTGCCTGTCCCACATTCCAGCCGTCAAGACTGACCCCAGGACTTTGATCATCATCAAAACCTACAACACACACTGTCCGTCTCACCTCACTGTTATCAAACACCACGTGTGTGGCTGTCAACACACGAATCTCCCCCCACACTTTCCTTTGTCTGCCTGTCTGTCGACACGTGCCACATGGACACGGACCCATGCAATCACTTTCTGTGAACTTGGCCACATCGTATATTAATCCCGTTCCTGTCCTCAAATATTCTTTTCCTTTGTTTTTATAAAACGGATAATTACCCTCAAAGCATTTAGCAGACTTTGGTCTCTCTAGACTGGTGAACCTAACCTTTATCATAACCGTTAGGGCAGAGTAAGCTTTGATTGCCTCCAACATGATGACATCACGGTATCGTGATGGGAGATGATCCAAGTTAAAATCATTAACAGGTATAAAGTTGACATGACCTGGATTCTTCTTACAGCGCTTGTAGTGTTTGTGTAGGTCAGCTTTACCTCCAGTGCAAAGTTCAGCATCGTGCTTTCCTAGAAAGTCAAAACGAGAAAACATTTTAAACAATTATCTTGCCAGACAATGCGAGATCATTTTTAGAACTTAAAAATCTCCAAAAAATTTCTTATTATAAAAAATGAAAAAATACGTATTTTACAGACCTTTTACATGCACTGAAAATAAGAAAGACTGCAAAATATTTTTTTTTGGTAGAGCATAATGTTACTCATGAAATCTCTTGATATTTTAAAGACAAAGTGAAATAAATCAAAACTTATTAATCAGAATGAAATTCAGCAATATACTTCATATTTTAAAATGAAGATTGTAAAATGTACCTGGCATAAAGTCCCCTGCAAGACTTCTTTGCTTTTTGATGGCATCATCACTGTCTTCAAAAACATAGTCCACTGAATGTGTGAAAAGTAAACATAGGTTAGTTAAATTATGTCAGCTTTTAATGAAATCTCGGTACTAGATCTAGTGTATACATCTGATGCAGGATATTTCTATTTTATATGTCATATTCTTTCGCAACTCTTAAGTAAATTAGAATTTTCATTAGCAATCATTTTAACTGATGAAAGTTATAAATCAAGAAGTAGCTGTTTTGTGTAACCTCCAGATAAAATCCATCTTACAATAATGTTCTTTAACAGATTTTATCTGTCATTAAGAATTTTGTTTGGTAAATTTTACCTTTAGTAATTATTAGCCTTGCAAGTATGTTGCCCATTATTCTGACTCCTGAAATTAATATTTAATTATTTACTTCCTTGAATGAACAAATTATAGATATATATATATACGAGCCGGCCCGCGGCATAACATACGCCGCTATTTAGTTGTTGTTTTTTCTACTTTTCAGTAATTCATAATTTGTGAATTCGACAGTACCAATGCTGACACTGAAAATATTTCTTTAAAACACTATAAGTAGCTCGTTAAGGACCATAACCCCCACCCTCCCTTCCTCCCCCCCCCCCCCCACGTTTAAAATCGTTTCAAACTAAATTATCTGCCCCTAATAGCCGTCACTAAACCCAACTCCACGAAGGTAAACATAGCGTGAACCACAGCTCACTAAGATCATGTAGGGGTGGGGATGTTAGGGAGCGCACTTGCAGCTTGTTTTCTAACGGCTCGAAGAAGAGAATTATATATATAGATATTAAATTGACAAAAGCTATGTTTTTATCATAGCAAGGATATTTTAGGAAGTCTAATCTCATTAGGTGCACCTTGAACTTCCTTGAGTTGATAAGTTGTTACGTTACGTTACCTTTCCATTATTATCGTTAAATATGTATATCGAAATAAACGGGGACAATTTTTTACTGTATCTTTGTATTTACTACAATTATCTTATTTTAGACCAGCTGTTTATAGAGGATCCTTCAATTCTATACCAAACATAATTAACAAAATTAACATAGCTTTGGATATAAACAGTCGATATATTAAATATTACACTGGCGTAAACGAACCAGACAATCATTTCTGTTAACTTGACAGATCAAATAGACCGACTTGTATAATCTTACACTGTTACACATCAACTAAACATAATTTTACAAATGTTACACATAAACAAGACATACGTTTAAAATGTTACACATCAGCAAGACATACTTTACAATCTTACACACCAACTAGACAGACTTTCGTAATAGTACACTTCAAACAAAACCTCACCCTAAACCTATGGTTATTAATATTTAGACTACTTCAAATATTTTGTTGGAACATAATTAGCTTAAATATCTGCTTGAAACGTATTCACAAAAACTTACCTCAGTAACCTATCAGCTGGTCTGACACCAAATGATATACTCCTGAAACTTTGACTTCTTATACAAAGTAAACTAGGACGCAAGTGCGCTGTAAAATCTCTCAGGGAAATATTTTATTTACACAAGGTACCAGGATATTTATTTTAGAGACTGGACTAACACGGAAGTAAATTAAAATGTTCGAACACTTAACAATGAGAAGAACAATCCAGCTGGGCCCAATGTAGGGCCCAAAATACCTGCACACTGTCACTGTAAACAGCCCACGTTTATCCAGCCCCTACCCTTTGCTATCAAGAGCCATGTTAATACCACTCCTTTATTTATAGCTTACAACCTACCTGCGGGGAAAACCCACAAAATCAAACCCACTCACAAATACAATGATACAGGCGCTCTAGAATATTTATAAACTAACCTAAAGATGTAAAGTGACTTTTCTCTAATATTCTACTTATTTGAATATATTGTTAAATATAAAACATAACCGGTACTAGTTTTATCAATTATTATAAATGATTTGTTTGATCTCTTTTTTCTATTTGTTTTTTTTTCTTTAAATGGCAGCTACAAAACCCAGAACATGAACGAGAAATAAAATAAATAAGAACCAAAATCAGAAGCAGAAGAACCAAAACTAGAAATTGAAACTGTAGAATTTAAAGTACACCTTGACGAAGGGAATATTCCTAATATCGACAAACAAATGAATAAAGAGCTCATTAACATAATATACGAAGATTTGAAACCAATACGGCCCCGATACTTGAAAGTTTGACGAAAGGATCAAACTTCACTAACACCCCCCCACACACACACATACATACATACACACACCTAAAGATTCACGAGAAACTGGCCCACCTTCTGACTCTAAATATAATTCTTGAAAATGCCACTATCGATTAATGGCTTAGGGCAATATGGCGCACAACCAATTGTTATTCGTAAATACCAGAAATGCATAGTTTTGCTACGGCGGCCAAGTGTTCTGATTGTGTTGCAGGCGTTAAATGTGAGGGAAGATCCTAGTGGTAGGTGGGAGCCTTAAGAATAGTGGTAACATAATTTTTTATGGGAATGATATCGTTCATAGAGTTTTAATTCAAAAGAGAGCGTAGTGTGTGGTGAGAGACAACACAGACACCCACGTCACGGGCCCCAATCTGGCCGGCCCCGTTACCCACCAGGTAGTTGAAAGCGACAGGACCTACACTTCGTCAAGTGGGGGTTTCATTACATCTTAGATAAACGACGTCAGGACCTACACTTCGTCAAGTGGGGGTTTCATTACATCTTAGATAAACGACGTCATGACCTACACTTCGTCAAGTGGGGGTTTCATTACATCTTAGATAAAAGACGACAGGACCTACACTTCGTCAAGTGGGGGTTTCATTACATCTTAGATAAACGACGTCATGACCTACACTTCGTCAAGTGGGGGTTTCATTACATCTTAGATAAAAGACGACAGGACCTACACTTCGTCAAGTGGGGGTTTCATTACATCTTAGATAAACGACGTCATGACCTACACTTCGTCAAGTGGGGGTTTCATTACATCTTAGATAAAAGACGACAGGACCTACACTTCGTCAAGTGGGGGTTTCATTACATCTTAGATAAAAGACGACAGGACCTACACTTCGTCAAGTGGGGGTTTCATTACATCTTAGATAAACGACGTCAGGACCTACACTTCGTCAAGTGGGGGTTTCATTACATCTTAGATAAAAGACGACAGGACCTACACTTCGTCAAGTGGGGGTTACATTACATCTTAGATAAACGACGTCATGACCTACACTTCGTCAAGTGGGGGTTTCATTACATCTTAGATAAAAGACGACAGGACCTACACTTCGTCAAGTGGGGGTTTCATTACATCTTAGATAAACGACGTCATGACCTACACTTCGTCAAGTGGGGGTTTCATTACATCTTAGATAAAAGACGACAGGACCTACACTTCGTCAAGTGGGGGTTTCATTACATCTTAGATAAAAGACGTCATGACCTACACTTCGTCAAGTTGGGGTTTCATTACATCTTAGATAAAAGACGACAGGACCTACACTTCGTCAAGTGGGGGTTTCATTACATCTTAGATAAAAGACGACAGGACCTACACTTCGTCAAGTGGGGGTTTCATTACATCTTAGATAAAAGACGTCATGACCTACACTTCGTCAAGTGGGGATTTCATTACATCTTAGATAAAAGACGACAGGACCTACACTTCGTCAAGTGGGGGTTTCATTACATCTTAGATAAAAGACGACAGGACCTACACTTCGTCAAGTGGTGGTTTCATTACACCTTAGATAAACGACGTCAGGATCTACACTCTGTCGAGTTGTGTTAGCGATTAATTGAAAACATACGTTTCTGAACATGTTACTAGTTGAGGGACCTTCACGATTATATCGGCAGAGAAACGCGTTCATTAATGAATGGGTTTTTTTTTCATTGATAACAGCGCCTGCATTTTAATTTTAGTGATTACGTTAAGTTAATAGCGCACATTGTTAAGTAATAAGCTTTCTACATTTAAAAAATAAATATTTTAGTTTGGCTGTCTTTTTAAATATTTTTTTTCTTTGGTCGCTTTTTAATTTGTTCATTTAAATCTAAGCCACGAGTTGTAGGGGGGGGGATTAGTGTGAGGGGGAGATTTAATCCAGGATGTTTTTGAGCAAATTTAATGAAAAGCCTTTTATTTAAAAGGAAGTTTATTCTCATACAATACATATTGATTTCTAGTAAAACACAAACTATAAACTGTATTATTAAAAAGTTTTTTATTATATTGACGAACTTACACAGTGGTAACAAAATTTCGCGTAACACTTCAGAACACATCCAATATTTCTGTTGAGAAATAACAACTTAATCAGAAAAGAAGCTGTATGAATTTTTTAGTGGCTTTGGAAAAGTTTTAACTGTTACGTCCCTTGTATTATGTATATCATGGTTATGTCTCTTGTGTGTTCACTGTTTATTCCGCGATGTGTAGTTGATGTGTACAAGTAGTCGTCTGAGCTGTCTGTATATAAGAATAAAGTATTAAGGTTAACTCAGAGAACTGTGTCTGTTTAAGTAATGTAACATAAACAATAGATGTTGTCTATAGCAACAGTACAACAGGCGTTTAAACGCTTCCTCGCTGTCGCAATTAAAATTACAATTAAAATTGAAAACGGCTGACTAAGCAAATGTTTCCGGTCACAGTCAGACAAAAAAAAAACTTTAAACGTCCCTAGTATCTGAATACAGAGCAGATTTGTTCTGAATGTCAAAAGTTGAGAGAAAAGATGACTGACAGCTATTGTGAATTCTTAGATAAATCAGAGCGAATGAAAAAGTTGAACAAAGCACCTGATTTTCTTTAGGTTTGTTTGATCAAAGGTCAAATATGAACAGTAAATTCTTGACACATTCATTTACCAATTTCTTCTTAGGCCAGCAGTATGTTGCAATGATAGTATGAAAATCCGTTTACACTCAGCTATAAACCAAACATTCTACAAGTTGATTTCAGTTTTTCTAATCATTTGTAATGGCTTATCTAATTCTCATGGATATTTTTATCATTCTTCTTGTGATATTACAAAGTAATTATTTGAAATATATGTGCATATGCGTGAGTGTGTGTGAGTGTGTAAGTGTATATGTGTTATTAAATAGCACTATGTATCACATTTCGTGTGATGGTATTGTTTTGTCTTGTGTTGTGCTGACAATATGTCAATGGAGCGGATAACTTTTATGTAACGTTAATGTTTTATGATATTATGCCAGCATTTTGAGAGTACATTTACTTTATTCCATTTGGCTTGTGAATTATGTGTATACATTGTTTTCGCTAGTTTCGTTTCTTCATATTTTATTATAGTTCACTTGACACCATACTTTAATAGCCAAATATTATAAGGCATTC